TGTGACATTGGCTTGTGTTGCCGCTGCCGATGCCGCCGCCGCCGCTGTGTACTCTTGCCCACCGAGTCCAGTGCTAAAGGAAAAGGAGCTGTTGTTTTGTTTTTCACTGTAACACCTAAGTTAGCTGTACTGAACAGACTCACCGGCGTCTTCTTTTTGTAATCATTGGCAAGCTTACTTACTAGAACTTGACCACTAGTGAGCACCTAAGTAACACTTTTGTTTGTTAAAGTTCCAGGTGTTTGCTTTGATTTGTTGGCGATTCAGACGACGATATCAAGCTACTGGCCACATAAGCACAAAGTTTTTGCCATTTCAGCACCCGGTCGTTTATCAAGTTCATTCTCTTTGCTCATTCTGGTTCATTTTTTTTGGGTTAATTAAATGGACTCCATGCGATCGCCACGATACACCGTCCTCAACAGCGACAACGATAACATTTACGTAAGTGCTTCTATACAGCAGCCAAAAGACAAATGTACCTAACCGTGTTTTTAAACACGACAAACTTTCAACTTTGTTTCTTATACTTTCACCTATTCTCTAGATCTCCAAATCTCTTCTGAACAAACTTTCACAACAGCAGAACCAACCGGCACAGCAGTCTCCGCCAAGTGAAGGAAACGCAACCGACGCACCGGCAGCTTCTGCAGCGATGCCCTCAGCAGTTAAGAGATCTGGTTCGGGTGGAAAGCCAGCCGATCAGCACTTCACCTCGGACGCCTTCTTCAACGACAACGCCCACACGATGCCTGCCTCCATTGACCCGGAGTACATTGCGGTAAAAGAGAGAGAAAGAGAGATTCATCCAAATTCTTTTAATAATAACATTCCTTTCTCTGATTACCATTTCAGAAACACGCCCAGTTCGACTCGAGCACTCACCTGTACGCCCTGCGAGGCGAGTACGAGCGCAAGCTGCAGCAGTACCAGCAGGTGTGGCGCGGCCGCTTCGACGAGCTGGAGGGCCTCAATGAGCAGCTGTTCAAGCTGAACAGCGACAAGTTCGCGAAGGAGGTGGGCCGCGTCGATGAGACCTACTTTCGTCGAGGACGTGACCTGACGTCCACCGGCGGCTACGATGTGCCCTGCAAGGCGGCGGAGAACCTGGTCATCAACTGCTTTGCCGTCAACGGGAAGAAGCCACTGTTGTGCGCCGACGAGGTTCGCCAGTTCACCGAGTGCGTCCAGCAGACGCGTGTTAATGTGCTCAAGCGATAGACTGGGGAGAGATGAAAAGTGCCCTTCCCTCTTCAATTGTACCTTTTAGTCAGTTTTGTAAGCAAAAATGAGAAAGAGAGTATATTAAACGGCTAGATTGTTTCACCTTGGAGTTAACATATTTTAAGATAGAATTTTTTACATTTTCTGGGCGCCCTTTCCCTTCTTTCAACGTACGGCGGTTTCTTTTGTAGAAATGAAATATAAAACGTTTTTGTTTGAATCTTTATTTGTAGTGAAAAAATTGGTAAAAAAAGAAACAGTGCTTGTAAATTGAGTCTACAAATGGAGACGTACTTGAAACAAACAAAAAGAAGAATTTGATCACAATGAAAGTTGCTTGGTGGTTGCGTATGAACAAAATTGTGTTTTGCTGAGTTTATTTAGTAGCGGCAGCTGTTGAGAAAACGATAAATTGAAAACAAACTTTAACTTTGCGAAAACCCTTGCTATATAGCCGCAATAATTGCTTCAGCCCTCACTGTGTAGACAAGCTAAATAAAGTGATCAGTCGGCTCTGCCATCACGCAATTCAAAGGCAATCATTGTCATTTCCTTTGCCGCAATCCTACACGACTGGAAAAAATAGTAAAATCATAGTGAAAAAGAACACCGGCGTTTCCAGGCTGCATTCAAGCAAAAATTAAAACTTGAAAAACTTGACATTAAATTCTTCTGTTGTTTAACTTCACATCTACTTTGAAACAGACCCGATTTGAGGTACGTACTGAATTACCACTTTTCATTATGAAAGTTTGTTTTCAACAATCACCACCATACCTGCAACACGCGTTCAATGAGTGCCACCACGTGTTACCAGGTTGGTGATGAGGGGGTGATGACGGTGATGGTGAGGGTGGTGATGGTGATGAGGGTGATGATGAGGATGAAGATGATCTGGAACCACCGGTTCATTCAGTCTTTGCAGTGAACCAGTGTCGGCAACGTCGTGCTAGTTGACAGTTCGATGTCTAACAGTCTGGCTGACTAGCATGGCTTATCACCATTTCCATCACCACTTTCTTTACCACCTCCACCACTGTCCCAATCACTGTCATCCCCACCATCATTGTAGCCAGTGTTTAGAAAGACTTTTTGGGAAAAAGGTTTGCACCGAGCTGCTGCAGTTTGTCTGCCTGCTTGTGTACGGCACAATCTAATCGAACCATAAAGATACAAATTGACGGCCATCGTCATTGGGTGCTTTTCTCTTTCATTTCGTTCAGTTTTACTTTGGTGATGTGACACAGTACATCATCACCACTAGCTGAAGTATCGGGTGGGTTTGAAAGTTAAAAAAGTTTTAAATGTTGCACATAAAATTAAAATGTTGTAACCAGTTTTTGAGGGTTTTTTGCAAACCTAAATCTATTTAGCTAGTATTTACTTTACTTTTTAAACATTTGTAAAATTTTAAAAGTTTTTTTAAATGAAACTAAAATTAAAATGCAAATTTGTAGCCACTTTGTTTTACTTCTAAAAATCGGCATCTCTGGAGAAAGACCCAAGCATTTGATTAGTAAAGAAAAAAAATCGGTGAGGTGATGCAACCAAAGAGTCAGCAATCAGGCGATCAGACAGTGCAGACACTGATTTATCAGACTCTGGTTTTTGTACAGTTGTTAGAAACTACAAAGTCAATCAAACAGAGAGTGGAGTGGACCAGTAGATACCGCTGATTAGTGAGGACTTTTAATTAGCGGAACAGGCGTTCTACGTTCACGTGGGCAAAAGTACCTTACGTGTTTTAGCTGGCAAAGTTCAACAGCATCATCATCATCATCAGTTGTACGGACAACATGCAGATGATGGCTGTACAGCTGACGCCCGTTTTCACTGAACTCACTGAACCTGACAATGACTTCACTGTGTGTGTAAGATGTTATCAGCTGCAGCCAATCAGGCAATTGGTGTTTCTACACCAGCTTTTGCTAAATCGGAGTTGTCCCTGCGTGTGGCAAGGCTGACTTATCAAGAACTTTTCGTTCAGTAGTAAAAATGGACAAGATTATATGGGTGCTACCAATACTACCAATGCTACCACCTCCACTCGATGTGCCACTGTTGCTGTTAACCAACAGCAGCAACCTTGTTGCCAACAGTGAAAAACGAGTGAAATGAAAGTGAAAACAAAACAGATCTTCTGATGATGCACTTTTGTGTAAGCAAACTTTGGCCAGGTTTTTGCAGTTTTGCATGCTACTGCTGCTGGTCAGTTGAAACTGACAGTTAAGTTCAATTTCTATTTGTCATTCCAATGGAACAACTTAACAATATTTAACTCATTTAGTACCAAACTTCTACTTTGTTTAACTCTAGAACGTTCTAGACTTTTCATTTATTTAGCAAGTTAGGCGATAAAACTTGACGGCTGCTGTTGCTGCTGCTGTCGCGTTTGGCGGCGGCATTTCCCGACAAATTCGCACTTGTTCTCTCTCTCTCTTTTTTTAACTTTTTTTCTGTTTTTTGTTGCCTGTCTTGTTTTGTCAACTTTATCACACACACACTCACACTGGCAGTATTCTGCCACTAGATAACAGCCAGACTGATTAGGCAAATGTTTTTTCGTGTGTGTGTTCTGTTTTCTTGTTAGTCGCCAAAGTCCCCCTCTATTTCTGTCTTTTTCCCTGCTTTTCCAGTGCAAAGTTGATGAACTGTGTACTAGTCAGTATTGGCCCGTCAGACTGCAATTGATGTACTTTTTAGTTATTTGCAGTAGAGGAAAAGGTCAAAGAGCAGAGTGTCCTAGTCAGAACAAAGTGTGGACAACTGCGGCAGTACACTGTGTCCTCTGACCGGTTTTAAAAGTTTGACTGTGACTGTGAAGACAAACAAACTGTCAGGTTGCAGCAGCAGCAGCAGCAGCAGCAGCAGCAGCAGCAGCAGTAACCGCACACTTTCCTTGGGTCACGTAGTCGCCGGGTTTGGTTGCTGGACAGGCACCTGCTTGCCGGTACAGAAAGGCAATCCCGTTCTTGGATTTGAGGATTGCCACCACCACCACCAGCACTGCTGCTGCTGCTGTCGTATTCCTCCACTTTCTGGTTGGATGCCTCGAACCATTCGTCGGGCGAATGTCTGGCCAGTGCAGCAGCAGCAGCAGCAGTTGTTTGCCCTCTGAGTGATCTACAGACCAGCATACACACACACACTTTCCCTAGCACACACAGCGTGTGTCTTGAAATAGAGAGAAAGTGAAGTAAAGAGCTTATGGCTGCGACGACAGCGGTGGCAGCAGCAGCAGTGCTCCTCCTTGCACTTTGCCACACTGCTTCTGCAGTTGCAGCTACTGCTCAATCTTCGGCGCATCTTCGGCACCTCCTCGGTTCCCTGCCTGCCTGCCTGCCTGGTGACTGCGTGTTTGCAGGCACTGCCACTGCCACTGCCAGCAATCTCTCTCGTTCCTTCGTTTGGCTCTTCACTGCTGCTGGTATATATAAGCGGCCACCTCGCGACTTGATTGACATTGAGAGCCCACTTCTCTGACTGACTGACTGAGCACTTCGTCGTCCTCGCAGCCTCGTTCTATCGTCTTATTCCACCACCACCAGCAACACCGTACGTGACAGCACACCGCAGACCCGGTCAATTATCCTCTCCTATCCGCCTCTTCTGTCACCACCGTCTTTCCTAGTCATTTCCATTCACTCCTTCCAACCCACGTATTCACCCACTGACAACCAGTTAAAACTGACCCAAACTCTTTTCTTTTCTTTATTCCAACCTCTTTTTTCTACCCACTCCAAATTGTCATTCCCAGAACACCCCCTCTTTAAGCAATGGCCAAGTTCAACTACCTTCCCGTGGACGTGCAGGAGGAGCTGCGCAACACCGCCAACGCCATCGTCGCGCCTGGCAAGGGCATCCTCGCCGCCGATGAGAGTACCGGTAAGTGGGTGATCAAAACGAAGTGTTTGTTGTCTTCCAGAAAGTAGTGAGTTTCCTCTTTGACAAGTACCCAACTCTGAGCTGATCGCCGAATCTATCCTTTCCATTAACTGTGACAGTGTGTGTGTGTTTGTGTCATTAGGACAGTGCAGTCGGCAGCTGCTGTCGATGACGGTTGTCCTTCAGTGGTACTTCGCCGCACTGTGCGAGCGCGCCGCCATCGTACATCTGCACCACCTAAAATGTAGACACACACTCGCACACTAGCTCTCTCTCTCTCTCTCTCTCTCTCTCTCTCTCTCTCTGTCGTACATGTACTCCACTCTATTCTTCAAAGTACATGTACAACAGTGAGAACCCTTTCTTCCTCTCACCGTTTTCCTTTCCATCACTAACCTCCTCTTTACCTCCTCTTACCTCCTCCCGTTTACTTCCTACCTCCAGCGACCATTGGCAAGCGCTTCTCCGACATTGGCGTGGCCAATGAGGAGGAGACCCGTCGCGCCTACCGCGACCTGCTCTTCAGCGCGCCCGCCGAGCTGAACAGCTACATCAGCGGCGTCATCCTCTTCGACGAGACCGTCTACCACAAGGACGCCGCCGGCACGCCCTTCCCCGAGGTGCTCAAGAAGCGCGGCATCATTCCCGGCATCAAGGTCGACACCGGCGTGGTCACCCTCCAGGGCACCAACGGCGAATCGACCACCCAGGGTCTGGACAACCTGACCAAGCGCTGCCAGGCGTACTACGACGCCGGCTGCCGCTTCGCCAAGTGGCGCTGCGTCCTCAAGATCGGCGCCGACGAGCCCTCGGCGGTGGCCATTTTGGAGAACGCCAACGTTCTGGCTCGATACGCCTCCTGCTGCCAGCAGGTAAAAAACCGCTTCTTTATCAGCTGACTTTTGCAAACTTTTTTAACCGCGTTTTTTCATCCTCCCAGGCCCGCATCGTGCCGATCGTCGAGCCCGAGGTGCTGCCCGACGGCCCGCACGACCTGGAGCGCTGCCAGAAAGTGACGGAGACGGTGCTGGCGGCGGTGTACAAGGCCCTCAGCGACCACCACGTCTACCTGGAGGGCACCCTCCTCAAGCCGAACATGGTCACCGCCGGGCAGTCATTCGCCGGGACGAAGCCGACGCCGGCGGAGGTTGCCCGCGCCACGGTGACCGCCCTCCAGCGCACTGTGCCCGCCGCCGTGCCCGGCGTCGTCTTCCTCTCCGGCGGCCAGACCGAGGAGGAGGCCTCTGTCAATCTGAACGCCATCAACCAGTACCCGGGCAAGAAACCGTGGGTCCTCTCCTTCAGCTACGGTCGCGCCCTCCAGGCGTCAGTGCTGAAGGCCTGGCAGGGCAAGGCCGACCTGGTCGCCGCCGGCCAGAAGGAGCTGCTGAACCGCGCTAAGGTGAGTCACTTTTGATCATTTGTTTCTGTACTTTCTCCATTTGCCTTTCTGATGTTTTCTACANGTGGGTCCTCTCCTTCAGCTACGGTCGCGCCCTCCAGGCGTCAGTGCTGAAGGCCTGGCAGGGCAAGGCCGACCTGGTCGCCGCCGGCCAGAAGGAGCTGCTGAACCGCGCTAAGGTGAGTCATTTTTTATCATTTGTTTCTGTACATTCTCCATTTCCCTTTCTGATGTTTTCTACTGTGTTGAGATTTGCCAACTTTTATCTAGTTCAGTGTGCTAAATCAGGGTTTATTTCTAATTGTTTGCTGTCTTCCGTTGTTTACCTTATTCCCTTTCCTGCCACCCACCCAATTGCTTTGCTTGCTTTGCCATAATAACCGATTGCTTCTTTATCCATTCCTCTATTTTGCACACCCCTTCAACAAACCCCCAAACATTAAATGCACACCCAATCAGGCAAACCACCTAGCCACTCAGGGCAAGTACGCCGCCGGCTCCATTCCCAGCCTTGCCTCTGGCAAGTCCAACTTTGTGCCCACTCACGCTTACTAGACGAGAACTGAGGACCCGGCCTCCAAGAAGCTAGCAGGAGAACAAGATCAAAGACCAGAAAGTTTTACCACCACCACCACCACCACCGACACCATCACTATCAAGACGATCAGAACAGGCTGAGAGAATGAGAAGTAGCTGATAAGGATAAGGATAAGGACGAGGAGGACGATAATGAAAGCACTACCAACCAGCTACCCCTGCTTTGCCTCAATCACAACACCTCCCAACAACTCCATACAGAACACTCCTTTTACTTTTCTTTACTCCCTAGCTTTACACCCAATTTACTACCAATCCTTTACACCTGATAATACAGTTTACAATCCACTAATACTCCTGCTATTATTAACACCAAAACAAAACGGCTGATCAAATACCAAATAATAATAATTGATTCATTCCCGCTTGAAACTTTTGCCTATTTTTTCAGTCGCTTACCTTTTCCCTCAAAAACTAAAACTTGTTAGTTTAGTCTCATTTCCTGCAATGACACGGCAAACTTTGATAATTAATTCTTCTTGATCAAAGTAGTTTTGGGTTTTATATGCCAGTAGTGGTGTGTGTTATGTCATTGTCAGGTGATTTGAGCACATGTGAGACCAGTTCAGACTAGCCTTGATTTTTTATTTAATCACACAAATAATGATACTATTGAAGCATAGAAGTTACCAAATAGTGTCTTTTACTGATCAACTTAATCAATTTCTTGCAAACTTTTTTGTCTTTTTCCCCTCATCTCTAGGCTAACTCGCTTGCTTCTGTGGGACAATACACTGGTGGCATCGTCGGTGCGGCTGCTGGCGCTGATCTGTTTGTCAAGGATCACGCTTACTAAAAATACAAAAAAACTTTCAACAACAACAAACAATTGCACATTAAAAACGTAGTACAAATAAAAGAGAGTAGAAGAGAGAGAATAAGATTCAATCAATCAATCAAATAGCTACCACACACACAAACAAACAAATACACACGCCGACTGATAACTCCTCATTAACATTACAAACAACAGTTGAAGTGGACTATGGAAACCCAAAGTTTCAAGCGCAAACACAAACTGTTTGTTGAACACCTATTTAACACCTATCCGTCTATTTCATTAACCGAAAACGGTCTTATTTCTGTCAAACAGTAGTCAACACATATTAAGTTGAAGATTATTTTTGTTATATTTTCATCATTTATTTCTTTTTTCCTCTTTCCTCCTTGCCAAGGACTACCAAACCGTCTAACATATAAGAGCAGTCAACAAAAGCAATAGTAGAACTGAGTGCGTGAACTATTATTAAGAAATCTATTTTTCTCTATCCTTTTTGTGTGTTGTCCTTTTCCGATTTTGCCCTCTATTTTTCCTTTTTTTCCTGATCACACAAACTCTGTCTCGGACTTCATAGATTTAAATCAAAACAATAA